GTTCAAAAGTGGCCTTTTAAGGTACAATAGCCTGTCACTGGGGTTGTACCTTGACATTTGTACCTTTAGCTAGACTAAAAGAGCCTCATTAAAGTACAGATTTGGGCTATACTGGCTATTACCTTAGAGAGGGAATTTATAATGCACTGTACCTGTTATGACTATCAGAAGGAATTTTATTTTAGTGTGAATACTCTTTAATTTATTTAATTCTCATAGAGTTTCAAGGCAAACAAATTGTTTGTTGTTGGATTTCATGTTCTATAATTTAGCTGACTGATCAAATCTACGGACGTTTTCTAAACTTTTTGGCTAAATGCCCCTCATTGCATGATTAAAAGGTCTTTGAAGTGATGCATTTAATTCATTTATCACATACATTATTTTGTCATTAATTAATGTGATGAATCTTAAACAAAATGTATAAAAAAATGTCCTAAAAGTTCTATCAAATGTAAGTAATTAATTGTTTCCTAAGACCAGCAGTAGCAGTAGTCTTTTTTTTCGGTAACTGAATGAAATGTTGAATTGGTCTGTGTGTTAGGCAAGCTTGAAAAAAAAAGGAAAGAAAGAAAATATGCTTGCATTTCAGACAAACTGAAATGGATACATTGGTCCCAGGTCTTGTATTTATAAAATTAAGGTAAATACCAGTACCAAGAAAAGATTACTAAGGTTAAATAAATAAGGAAAAATCTGAAAGATGAAATTATTATATTATTATTAACTATTATATTTTATAGTATATTTTGTGCTACTGCTAATACTGCTATTGCTCTGTCTGTGGTAGTATATTATAGGATAAAATTATAGGATAATTAATATTTTATATTAGAATGCATTCTAATACTAAATCATATAGATAAATAAAATTTGATTATTTTAGGAAAGCCCTGATACAGGGAAGTTGTTTTTGTTTTTAGTCTCAGCCAAAGATGCTTGTGCCCTTTTTTGGCCACAAGCTTCAAAATCCTGTAGGTTAAAACCTGCATGTTGTATTCTGAATGGCTCTTCACACTTCTGTGTATATTCATTTCTATATGACGAGGGAAAACAAAGTTTGGAACAATTAAATTCAATTTTATTTATACAGTGCTTTTCTTTGAAGAAAGTGGGCTGTTCTACAATCCTTTAAGCTTGTGTTTCAGTAAGGGTGCGTTCTTAATCCTTCAAGAAACAATATGATCACATTATTCCTGTGCTTCCATAATGCTTTGCTCAATTCTTATAGCAATCCCACACTGAAAACCATTTCTTGTCCCAGCTCTAATTAAAATAGCACAGCGACATTTTCCTTTGGCGCCACCAAACGAACCCATGCAGCCAGAGAAGCGTAAAAAACGCAGAGACAGCAAAACGGATGGCTGTTTCAGAATACTGTGCCGCCGCCGCCCCGCTAGCGTCACCTCGTTCGTCCTTATTCATCTGTCGCTCTGGGTCAGGAGCAGTCATGTCATTTTGGCAGGCCAATTAAGCACCGCTGACATTCAGGCAGAGCGGACTGTGTGACATTAAGATCCGTTTTCCTGTAACATGCCCGTGACATTCGGCTGAGTTCCTATAGAGCCCCGAGTCCTCAGGATGATGTTCTTTTAAATGCTATCAAAGAATGCACATGTGCGTAGCGTCAGCTTGTTCTGTTCCCTTGATCAGTTCACCCTGTCCTTCATGCATATGCAGATTTCCTCCATATTTTGTGGTTGAGTGGCAGCAGACGGGGTATATTCAGTCGAGACGCTACAGCTTGAAGGTCATATCGTGCGTATAGTGGCGCCTTTGTTTCCAGAAGCTGAGTCACTCATGTGTTAAGGGTTCTGCTGTTGGGTTTTGAGATGGCTGTGATTGGGTCAGAGAGCCAGCAGGGCCATTGAGCAAATGAAACCAACCCAATCCACTGGAGAATAAGTGTGACCTTAAGTGCTTCCATGGGAATGTGTGATTAATAATATGCCTGCCACTGGCTAAGGGTGAAACCTATGCACATTTAACATGCTAGGAATGGACAGAAAGAGGACAGCTAGCAGAAAGAAGGGATGTAACTGTATACATTAGTCAGAATAAACAGATGTTGTGTTCTAAAAAGAAACAAATACAGATATGACAAGGAGGCTCACTATTTTTTTTTTTTTTTAGATTGCTTGCCAGTAAGGTTCACAGAGAATCTGGATGAGACTAGAGGTGTGTATCGGAACTGGTATCCTAGGTGATGCAGCAAAAAAGTACATCTACAGTTGATACTATATTATCAACTGGAGTGATGTAGCTGAGGTTGAGGAACTGTCAGGGCCAGAATGCACACACTATAAAGACAGTGCTGCCGTTTCTACCTTTAGGTTTTTTAAACTTTGTTTAGGCCCACGGCCACAGGTACGGATATTTGGAGCTATAAACAGACACAGATACACATAGTGGCATTGTGTTACACCCTAGTGGAAAGCCAGATGGACGCATGATTCTCCCCAGTACCAGTAGCACCACAGGCACTGAGACCTGGAGACTTAATCAGCTTCTGTGATACTGAGTAATGACATCGATCCAGCGTTGGCACAGTGTGGCCCTGGCTTCAGCTTTCATAAACATGTTGAGATTTCTTCTGCTCTATAGAGCGAGGAGCAAGACGTCACTCGAGTCACACGCCATCGCATATGACTAGCAGGGGATGTAGGATAGGGAGGATGTAGGATAGGGAGGAGGTGTTTGGCAGGGTTTGTGGACTCTGATTTAATTCTGACACACCCTGTGAGTCAGAGAAACAGGACTGTAGGCAGCAGGAGGAAGTAAGAGAAAGACGCACATATATAGAATGAGCTTCTGTAGGAGATTGCTGTAGAAAAATTGTAATTGTTTACATTTCTAAGAGTGTACATGATGCTGCGTATGATAAAAAGTTTACTTTTAATGTAGTCACTAGTTTGGACGTTGGATTTTTCTTATAGCTCAGAGTTCATAGTTGTGAAGCAATGTTGATGTTTCTTAATATGGCACCGCCCATGGAAGTTCAGCTTGTGGTCAGTGCTAAGTTATTACAGCGTGATTTTAGTCATACAGAAGGATATTTTAGTAATTTACCAACACATCTGAGGGAAATGTCGATATTACCGGGAGAGTTGTCTCATTTCTAACGCTCTTCAACTTTTATGCTGTTCTAGATATCAAAATCCTTAGCCTTGGTTATTAGCTAGCATATTTTTGGTGTCCACATTTTCCAGTTGCCTGACAACAGTGCTGTACTTGCTTGAATGTTGAGCGTATGGTGTGTTCACAATTCTGAAGTCCAAAGCCGGAATATGCAAGTTCTGTTTTAAGTTTTTCCCCCTTCAGCTTCCTCACTTTATTGTTGTCATAGCAACAATTCAAGGCTGTCATTAATGCCCACTGCAGCTGAAGTGTCTCACCACTAGAAAAGAGGAATTCTTTGTTCTGACTGTATGATCAACAAAACGATCAGCCTGTGATCTCATCTGGTTTCTCTGATGTACAGCTGGTTGTTTCTCTTGTTATACATAAGCTAAAATGATGCATGAAGAGTAATGGGTAACAATAATTGCTCGTTTTAGGCCTGTGACTGGTGTTCATTGTTCACAAATTAGCCTGTACCTCCTCTTTAACAGTTGAACACTGAATATTATGTTCAGTGTCTGTACAGACACGGAACAAATTACAAGAAAAACCTAAGTGTCTAAGTAAGGTGTTGGGCAACCTTCTTGTTCTTGCTGACAGTTTAATCACAGGCTGCAGAGCATGGTAGGATGTTAATTGCTTAATGGCATCATGCAGTACACCTGTCTGGAAGCATCTGCACTCATTATGTTTCTCTACTCATTTATTCAGGGTTTTCCTTCCATTTGTCGCCTTTCTGTGTATGTACATGTACAAATGTCTGTGATTTTTGCTTCATGTTTTATGTTATCAATAACAGGATATATCCACATATGATTTGACATAAGCCTGATGATTCTCCAGATCACATTTCCAGATTCCAGAGGTGCCAACATCTACGGCTTAGCTGTAACATTCACCATTTTAACCCCTTGCTAAGGAGACACCTAAAACTCTACTTTTTAAAAACTGCTCAGAAAAACTAGCGCTAGATAAAATTCTCCTGGCAGAAGAGACAATTCACTGAATGGGAAAGGACGAGGCACGTGAAAGATTTTTGCTCCTGGGAGCAGTTACATTCAATTTGCCCCAATTTTGAACTTTTTCCTGTGAATTCACAAGTCCTGTCTTGTGAGACAATGGAAATCGAGAAAGCGGGACTGTGGTCTCTTTGATCAGAAAAAAAAAAATTAAGAGTTGCTTATTAAGAAGTGCTTATACTGAACCTTTGCCTCAGTGTTTACTTACTGTTGCTTGCTGCGCATCTGAAAAAGTCTTGTCCACTAATGTGCTCGGATTTTTGTGGTAAAATATATTTTTTCTCTCTCTGTCTGCTAGGATTATCTTGTCAGCAATGTTGGCACAGTCTAGCAGCATTACAGCATGCTTTATTTTAATCAAGAAAACTAATAACCAAAGATACAACTGTGTCAGTGAAACAGGGGGCAACATGGGGAGGTGTGCTTTGTCAAGGCATTCAGCAAGAAATATTACTAAATGCTGCAATATACGATTTCAGTGTATTTTAAAAAAAAAAATGGAATTGATTTTAGTGTCTGGAATTGATTTTAATTCAAATATTTATTCATGGCTCCTGTAATGTGTGTGTGTGTGTGTGTATGAATGTGGAGCAAGATGGATCACAAGAAAACAACTTTACTTTTGTTTATTATCAGAGTTATAAGAAAATACACTGACATCTCTGGACATCAGATCATTCTTCTTCTTCTTCTTCTTCTTCCAGCTACTCCAGTTAGGGATTGCCACAGTGGATGATTGGTTCACTTATTTGATTTGGCACAGTTTTTACGCCGGATTCCCTACCTGGCGCAACCCTCCCCAGTTTTATCCGGGCTTGGGACTGGCACCGGGAGTGCACTGTCTCGTGCCACTGGGGTTGGTTCCCTGGCCGGGAATCGAACCTGGGCCATGGCGTTGAGAGCCTAGGCCTAACCACTAGTCCTCCCTGGACATCAAACCATTATGCTGAGTAAATTGCATGTAATGCCATTTAATACATATAGGATGCATAGAACGTCTTTATGGAACAGTAAATACTATACAGTATATCTACTATTATGTGCTTTTACTCACAGTGCTTAGGATGGACATCAACACACACACCCGAACACACATCGCCCAGGATATACTCATAGCCCAAGGCCATCCTCATATCAGCGATGATAGGGTTATGGAAAAACTCTTCTCTTTGAACATGCAAACCCTATTAGCTCTAACTCACATTGTCATTTTGATGCACTTCAAATCGGATTTCCTGCTCCGAAACAGACATTTCCTAATGTGCACTTGAGCTGGGATATTGTTATTTATTTGCCCGCGCTCTCAAATGGTGGAGAGGGAGAGCGAGAGAGAAATTGCTTGTCAGTGTACTGCAGCTTTTCTGGGAGGAGGTTATTCTTTAAGTTCGGTGTTAGAATTGTGGAGCTGAATGGCCATAATTAATCATCACACAAAGCTCTTGCATCAGCAGAAGCACAGCCTTAGCCTTTTTGTTTCTTCTGAATAACAGAAGACCAAAGTTGAAGGACCAGCAGCTCCCACACCTTCGACCTGCCGCTGCACATTGATCCGTTTCAATTAAGAGGAAAATATTGCCCTCGGGACTGGTGCATGAGAGACAAAGCACTTATCATGTCTAGCCTTAAATAAGAGTCTACATTGTGTTGCTAAAAATAAATCCCATTTATTTAGTCCTCGAGGGCATACTGGTTCATGGCTCAGAGGAGGCCTGCTCAGCACTTCTTTCTCTGATTTTCTTTCCATTATTTATCTCTCTCACTCAAACTATATTACAGACACTATATTGAGAACCATATTAAAATACGTGATATATCATTTTCATAACGCAGTAAATGAGACTGAAGAGAAACGAAAAGGAGAGCAAAAGCAAGACTAGTGTATGACGGAGACTAAAGAAGATATAGATTGATTTGAAACTTTTTTAAGCCTCATCCGCACACCAGCAACTTCTCCTCTTTAATGGCAAACAGCCTCATTTGGTGGGAGACAAGCAAAGATCACAGAGAAGCACAAACATATTGATTTGGTGTAATCCCTGGGAAAGAAAATCTAAGAGCCAGGATAGATGAGCGTAAGGAAAATAGAGGAGGAGATGTGGTGTGCAGGAAGGAAAGCTGTATCCAGTCCCACTGAGTAGACTGATTAAGGACTAATAAAGCTCTGCGTGTGTTGTGGGAACAGCGGTAGCAGTTAAACTCAGCAGGTAGGGAAATCAGGAGTGCTTCCTTGCATACGCTTTGATGGGAACCACATGCGTTTCCTTTCTTCTGCTTTTACAGCACACCGCAAATTCAGCCTAATCGCTTTATATGAGAGATTCCCGATGGAGCGGACACGCTGTTGTTTCACTAGGGATTCGTCATTTTAGCTTGCTTCCTCGAGACACGAGTCCATTCAACATCCAAGGAGCTCATGCATAAGCTAATGCAGTTAGCCCTCCATGTATCAGGTGAGGGTTAGATATTAGGTAATTATCAGAAATAATCCCAGCGTTGGAACTGCAGGGATGTTGGAGGGAAACAGAAGAGGCCCAGGGTGTTTAGAGCAATTTAACAGCCTCCAGAGGAACACTTTTTAATTTCAGCACTATTTTCAAAATTAAGAGTCTAGATCCAATAAGGGTTGTGACCAGTTAAACAAATTTATTATAGTGAGTTCATGTCATTTCAGAACGATGCCAAGCACAAGATGACGGTTTAGAGCAGACCAAACCGAGTATTTGAAAAATACTGTAGCAGAGCCGATAAACGTGTTTAAAAAAAAATGGATAGTTCAGTGATGAACCAGCTCAGCTTTTGTAACAGATCCTCTGTTGCTGTGTATCCAAACACATGCAGCTATGTACATTGATTAGCTGAAGGCAGCTTATAAGACCAGAGTAATCACCACAGGGCTAAAGGCGTTAGCTCAGAAATGTTTGAGTTTTCACACACTTTTGTAGATTTGTCATTTTATTTACCCTGTCTTGTCTAATTAGTGAACCCATGACATGACTTGGTTTGTTTCCCCACTTCAAATTCAAAACATGCGTCTCATTTATTGAGTCTACGGCGCTAGTCAAAACTGTTAACATGAAGTGCCACTATGAAAAAAATAACCACGTCAGATTGTCTTATTTATAACTACAAACTAATGGTTCAGCATTAAAAGGTAACTCTTGTTGCAATTCAGCCATTTTAATTGCTTATTCAGACCTTAATGTCATCACACACTGTCTGAGCTTTTCATAAATTTCCCATTTAGCAAAGAACACTTTACACGAGTTTTTTTTACAAGTTCCAAGTCACGGACAGTAGGTGAAGACTTTGCTTTGGTGCTCAGCAAGGGAACATGCAAGAAGAAATAATCCTCTAGTTGTAAAGGAAAGCACCCTGGTAGTCAACTATCATTACATACATATCCTTCCACTAGCCTCAGAGAACAGATGGCTGTTAGCAGTGTTGGCCATTGCTAGCTAACTTACAACTCACAATTACAGTTCTATGTAGTTTCTGTGTAGCTTATTATCTTACTATATTAACACCTTTCATCCATTTTACTGGAAAAGCCAAATGGGTTGGTTTGCTGCTCCATAACAGCAACGGCACTGAAAGAGGTTTGATGGATGCCAGATCTTTTGGTGGTCCACTGGCCAAATGCACTGCCACTGCAAAGCTACAAAAATGCCTGGCGACATAGCTGCAATGTCATGAGAATGGGATTTGCGTTGGGAGAAAAGAGAAATGGTCTTGTGGGTGCAAAGCAAGCGTTCCAGGGCAAACAGTCCTCTCGGTTGACCACAAGCATGTGGCAGCTATAGCTCACCCTGGGAAAACAAGACCTCCGCTCTCTGTTTATTTTTCCTGTCCTTCAGGGGATACGAAGGCCAGGGCAAAAAGTTTCTCAACCCACTGCAGAAACGGCCAGAATTACTTAAGCTGTGCCAAAGTGCTAAGTGAACTTTCTTCTGATAAACTGAGCAAAATTGTCCTAATGAATAAGAAGTAACAAGAATTCCAGCCACATACTTTTCTCAAGTGTCATGTAAATCATTCTGTGATTTCCTGCAGAGCCTTTCACATGCTAAAACATGGATTTTAATATCACTGGCACTGCTCCCATTATGGTGCATGACGCCATTGTTGACGGAGGCGTTCCATTTTTCATCACGTTCTCAAAAAATGTGCAGTTTGTCCTCGTTCTCCCTGCCAACAATGCTGTGTTAGCTTTACACCCCTTTGGCCTACTTTCTACTGCTTTTCCCTTAAACCTACAATGCAAGGTGACAGCATCTGAGCACTCTACTAAATTAATGAAGCTCACCAGGATTGCAAAGCATCACTGATGGAAAAGAAAGAATGAAAGACAGAATTTATAGGGCTTGAAGTGGAAGAAAAGAGCCAAAGATATCAGTCAATCCACATCGGCCAGTTCAGGACACCCGAGACTTGGCCTCACCTTTTAATCAGCCTTTAGAGAGAGAAATATGGGTCTGCCGCACCCGTCACTCCAACGCCTCATTCATCTGGTTTGAATCACCTCTCCTCCCTCGGAAAGGGGATGGAAACTTTTCACTGGGAAAAAAAAAACCAAGTCTTTGTAGGGGAAGGGTTGGTAGAATAGTTCTGTAAGAATAAAAGACAAGAGTGCAGCGGAACATTTGAAATAAACTGGAGACTTTGTAAATGTGGTACATGTCCATAATGGTGGATCTTACTGTGAAGCTCCAGTGGGGTTTTATTGAAATATGGCCTTCATTCCGACAAAATATTTTTTCTTTGATAGCCTTCAAAAGGAAATCCTTTCTGATAAAAAAAAGGACAGTGAAACTGAAGCGATAATCCAAAGAACCATTTATAGTTCTTCTTAAAATTTCCTTTTTTTATGCGAGAGCAGATTTAAGTCTTGATCATGAATTCACAACATTTTCTTGGAATCATTTCAGAAAGGGAAACCCTACACTGAAGCTGGAAGGATGACCCAAGAACGACAAACCACAGAATGCTTTTAAACTGATCCTTTTTTCGTTTGGTTGTATGGTTGATCTGAATCCTGATCGCAAATTCACAAAATTTCCTTCGAAAGCATTTCTCAAAGGAAAGCCCTCCATTTAGCTTTAGTTATACCACATGTCAAATTCGAGGCCTACAGACCAAACACCGCCCACTGCCTTGTTTCTTTCGGCCTACTCAGACTTGCAAAAAATAATACTGAATCAGTCCATAGTGCTCTAATACTCAACATTTTCACGCTATCTAGAATGTACAGCAGATGCGTACTGTAATGACCTCTCGTTTTCTGCCCACATCAGTGTACAGGGCAAGTGGACTTACTTTACATCTCACATCGCAAACGCTGGTTAAAACCAATGCCCATCTTCTGTGTTTTGTGCATTACCCAATGTAGTTTAGAGACTTACAAATATTTTGAAAAAAGAAAAGTTGATGGAGCCTGAAGACAAGAGAGATGGGAGTCTAGCAACATGTTCTTAGCAGATATAATCCTGTGTGATCTCGTAAATCTCTTTCTTACTCTTACATGTTTTTGATATTTGGAAAACAGACATATGAAAAAACTTCAATCAGTGTAATAAATATTATGAGGATTAATAGTTTCTGTCAATCCTTCTTTTTCTTACAATCATTCTATTCTACTCTGAGAGTCTAGGTTTTTGGTGTTTGACAGAATAGATCACTGATCATTGATAGAATAGATGTGTTAGAACGTAATAGACTTATATTATGGCCCTTCAAACTCTCCCACAATTAGTGATGTGGCCCAGGCAGGATTTAAGCTTGACATCCCTGATTTAAACACTGAACCTTTAAGGATGACCCAAGACAGTTAGAGTGTTAAATGGAGGCTCCTTTTAAACCTCAGTGTATGGCTAAAAGAATTAAAGCTTAAGTGTAAGAGAGTTGCATTCTCTACTTTAACAAAATGGAGAGGGA